ATTTCTGAGAAACGTCAGAAACGGCCATTTTGGCTAAAACAAGAAAGAAGAACAGAACAACATTAGCTGCGCTAACAACAACTACGAAATCGAGATTGGAAAACTACAACGAGTTACAGAGTAACAGAGAACACTCCGAGTTGCAACTATTGTGCCGCTACAATAGTTGCAAGGCCGTTGCGAACAGCGGTGAAGGGTGAAAGACGGCCTTCCGGATTAAGAAGAAATCAGGATTAACAAGCTGATCCAGCAGATTTGTCAATCCGGAGGGGTAAAGGAACTGAAATTTTTATCCTGTTACATAAACTTTTAGCTTCCTGTCATGTCCTGACTTGAATTTAATTAACATCTAGATTCATTTTGATAAGGATGAGAAGCTAGGAGTTGGGGGAAAGGGTTGATCCATCTTCGATGGAGATGATGATTTTTATCTACTGAACAAAAACAATAGTAATATAATAAGTAGTAGCCCTGTTTTTAGGAGTGACCTCGTGGTCTGGGGATACTGAGACCCAGCCATGAGCTCACTGTTTCTGCATGTAATCTAGTTAATTTGAGTGTTTTGACCGAAGCCGAAAGCAGTAACGTTTTTGTCGACCCGATGTTAGAAAGACCACCGAAAAGTACTGGCTTGGTAGAGACGGTGAAAAGCATGCAAAGCTCTGTTTAGACGTTAGCCAGTCGTCTTAAGACTTAGTTTTGTCTTCCGTCGATATGTATCTTCCGGGCGAATGTTACAGAACTCTACCATCAGCTGAGAATTTTAAACGTAGAGCAGAGTAGCTTCTGACCCCTGATTTTCGGATGCACCGTTGGCGGATGATGCAGTGGTTAGCCAAAAAACTAAGTGAAAAAGACAAAAAAGCTAACCAGAATGGATAAACTACATAATTACTAAAATAAGCTTCGCGCTCTTGAGGAGCTCTATAAGGGGAGGCAGATAGCTGCGCAAAGTTCAATTTATCGACAACTCTATTAGCGCTATTGTAAAGGAGGACGGCTAAGATAAATTAACACGGCGATGCATTTAACGCTGATATATGACTTCATTGATAAAATGATACAATTTGCTGATTTATATGCGTTTTTAGAACGCTGGTATGGTCCTATCCAGCGTGTGCACTCACCGTAACTAAACGGAAGGGCCCCTTTTGTAACTTTTTTCCAAATTTTTTATGGATGTTTATTCGGTGCAGGTGAGGTGCATTATTATATTGGCTTAGTGACCTAATTTCGATTCCTGTCAAGGAAATTAAAATTTCTATGCTCCTCTTCATGATTACCCTTGCGATAGCAAGGGCATGCAATCGGGTACTAGACTTTGTTTCCCGTAAATAACTTAAGGCACAAAATAGTCAAAATTAGAAATGATACCTTTAGGTTCAGTTTGTATTTAATTTCAATTTCTTGTGTGTCGGGCACACTTGTTCTGTAAGTAACGAGTACGCCTGGGACGGCAAAGGTCCTGGGTTCAAATCGGACAGAATCTGTTTTTTTTTCATACGGTAAATAGTTTTCGCTTCTAAACTTTATTCCGCACAAATGAGCTTAGTGACCTAATTTATTTTATCGGCTTAGTGACCTAATTCCGTTCCCTGTCAAAGAAAACAAAATTTCTATGCTCCTCTCTGGATCGAACAAAATGAATTGAAACTGTTTATCATAACAGCAATTTTTTTCGACTTGATAGGTTTTACCCCACATTATATCGGTTTAATGGCCATATTGCGTCTTTCGCCGAGCGCAAAAAGCGTTTTTCGACAAGCGATCTATTTTTTTGATTTTTAGAGGTTTTCTTGTTTTGAAGAAATTTTTGCTAAAAAGTAAATTTCAAACGTTTTCGCAACTATGTGCATCGTCAGGATTTTTACAATAAACTACTCTAAATGACGATAAAACATCAATTTACAAATGTTATTTACAATAAATCACATACAATTTGGTTCTAAACCATCATGATAAAAAATTAGCCAATCACAGTTGACCTCTAAATTACTATTAAGATTAAAATACTTTTAACCTCTAAAATTAATTAAACATTTTAAAATTAATTTGTCTGGAAGTTTCTGAGTCATAATTTCGATTTAGACATGTACGTTTTGAATAAAAAGCCAAAAATATTTTGGGACTAAATTTTCAGTGTTAACTCCCTGCTCCTAAACTCATCGCGCGTGTTCAAGCCCGGTTTCTCTTTCCTGATATGTATTGCCTCTAGTGTTAGCAATTTTGTTTGGTTGTTTGACCTATCTATAATTTCCCAACTAAGATCTGCGCTATTTCCTTCAAGTTGGCATTGCTGAAGGTGGAGGCCTACCGGTGAGTCTGCTTTCCTATGTTCCTCAATTCTAGTGGTCAAATGTCGAACAGTTTGTCCGACATAGGTGGAAGTGCATCCACTACATGACAGTTTATAAACCACTCTTGACTTGAGGTCATTAGAAAATGCTGACTTCAGTGATGGTAAACATGATTGTAGTTTTCTTGTGGTGAAAACCACTTGAACGTTCGTTAATTTTCGTAACCTGTTAGCAAAATATTGGCTCTGGTTACCTCTATATTGCACCATCAGCATTGGGGGCTTTTCATCCTTTGGTGATTGAACTGACAAACCCCTGTCACTATCCAGGGGCTTGCCTTTACCCTCGATGATCTTGCACAAGGCGTCTGAAGCCACCTTTGCGGACCAATTTTCAGGGTACTGATTTGTCAGCCATTGCGCCCTATTAGTTTCCATAGCCTTATCAAATTGCTCCCAGCTAGATGTACTCCTAAAAACCCTGTGTACAGTGCCTTGGATAACACTACGCTTATACTGAGTTGGGGCGCAGCTTCTATAGTTCAGTATAGTCCCTGTATCTGTTGGTTTTTCATACCAACTGCAAGTTACACGCCTATTCTGCGATATATTTATGTTCAAATCCAGGAACGGCAAATTCCCCTCCGAATTAGTTTTCTCTAGAGTGAACTGCAAATTTGGATGAAGAGAATTGGCGGCATCGAGAAGACAACTCGGCTCCCCTCTGACTGTTCTAACAATGTCATCCACATACCTGAGGAACAATTTCACCTGGGGAGTATCCTTCTCCTTGTTCTTAGCTCGGCAGCAGCTTTCACAGTACCAGACTATCTCGGTTATTGATGCGTATACGTCATCGGATATTTTTCCGCATTTTAGATGATACCAGTTTCGGCAACTCTCGCATTCAACCCCCTTTGATCTATATGTGACTTTCCTGCTGCAACATGGGCACAAGCCGTTTTTGTCATTAATTTGCTGTACCCCCGTTCCCACCGGTATTTGTTGTCGTAGAGCAAATTCGTATTCTTTCAGCCATAAGTTTGCCAGAATTACAGCGAGGGACGCTCCCATTGCTAAACCATCAACTTGTACATACCATGAATCATTACACTTGAAATATACTTTGCTGACCGCCATATTCAAAAGCCTTTTCATGGTTGCTCTTTGAATTTCAGGAGGAGACTCCTGGCTGTACAGCTTCTGTAAAGCAATTTCAATTGCCTCCTTCAGGGGAACGTTGGTGTACAAACTTTTCACATCAAGAGATATTATGGTTTCATCCGGATCTAGAGCAATGTTTTCTATTTTTTCTCTAGCCTCTTTAGTATTGGTTTCTATATTTGCTCCATCGATGTTGTCAAAAAACTTCGCAAGCATTTTGTTAAGATTCTCATACGAGCTGCCGGGAAGTGATAGTACAGGTCGTAGGGGTGTCTCATCCTTGTGTACCTTAGCTAAACCGTACAAACGGGCGGGTTGCCCCCCTGTTGATCGTATCTTAGAATATAACTGATCACTTATCTCGTCTCTTTTGTTCATGGCTAGTAACTCTTTGTTAAGTTCTTTCTCAATTTTCAGTATCAGCTCATCAGTGGTTGCATCTTTTTTCACAAACTGAGCAGATTGCAACAAGGATTCCAGCTTTGATTCATATGTTTGTTTCCTCATTATGCAAAAACCAACCCCCTTATCAAAAGGCACAGCCAGCAACCCATTATCTTTGAGATATTTCCTCGTTTTTTCAACGGCTTTGTCTCTTGGGGTTTGCCGTACGTTTTTTGCATATGCCTTTGCCGCGGCTTCTATTTCACATAACGTTTCACCAGATGTTTTTTGATTTTTCAATTGTGAGAGGAAAATGTCGATATCCGCCAAAAAATGTGTTTCGTTAAATTTGTCTCTAATTGGATGCTTGGGGCCCATTGATAGCACTTCATATACCCATTCAGGCAGTTCAATATTATCAAGTACCCTAACTGATCGCTCATTTCTCCCCCCAAGAGGTTTATCTTGTCTCTCGGACAGTTTTTCTAACTTTTTTCTATGGTTTTCTGATGTTGTCTTTAAGCTTGCCTCAACTTGCCGCCTCACGAATCGGAAAATGGATGCCCACCACTGTTTGTCAATTTCTTTTTGCACCAGTGATCTCGCTTTCCTTAGCATCTCCTCGTACCTTTTCCTATCCTCATTTGCCCTAGAAGTTTCAGTCCTTAGTAGTTTCAATTGAAAATTATGCACAGCTTGGTCCGAAAAAACCCCGTTCTCGGGGACCCTAAACTTCAAAAAGTCCGGTATTAGATCGTTTTTCAGACATTTTCTCAGAAACTTCAGTCTATGTACAGATACTTGAACTTTTTTAAAGAATTTTAAATAGTCTAACACAATTTTCCAAGTTAGTTTCCTTTTCAAAATTTGTCTGAGCCAAACAGCAGGCAAAAGTACTGTGGTCATTGTTTTGCAGGCCACGAGTAATGAAACTCACAAGGCACAAAGCAAAACAAATCACACTCTTCTCACCCCTGTTTGATTTGTTGTTCAGACTGTCACAGCGCATCTGAACAAATGCGCTGTGACAGTCCAAAGAACATGGAGAGGATTTTTAGGTCTTGTTTTGTTTCGCAAGTAGTGCAAAGCGCAGCTTCGCCTCTGAATTTGGGCCAGTATTAAAGTCTTGATTTTTTTGAAATTGAAATTTTGTTTCAGAGATCAATGGCTGCCTTTCTGAAGCTTCAGGAAGAAAATAAACAGTTCAGTTATGAGATTTTCGAAAACCACAAGTGAGAAGCAATGGAAATTTTAAGTCAAGAAATAATTTAATTTAAGACTGTTGAAAAATTCACTAACCGATTTGCTTCAGGGATGCTGAAAGGTACCGAGAGATTGAGTTTCAGGCTGTTATTGTCATTCAAAGTTGGTACAGAGGAATGAATACTCGGCATTACTTACGGTCAGTCAGCAGTTTCGTTAGCATCGACGTTCGTTACCTTAAAAGTTGATATATTTTTTCTTTGTTTACAGATATCTGAACAAATGCGCTGTGACAGTCCAAAGAACATGGAGAGGATTTTTAGGTCGGAGATATTGCCGGGAAAAACTTGACGTAAGATACACTGATTTAGGTATCAAGTAGGTTAATAGTTCAAAAACTCGAGGACTGATCAATTATTTACCTTCGCGAGCGTTAGTGAGCGTTGTGAATAGTACGGCTATTCTTTTTTTTGAACCTAAGTCAAAAATTTTGGTGCCAATTTGTTAGCGCCTTTACGCGTTTTTGATATCATGTGCTTTGACATTCGATTAGTAATACGTTAACACAGTTGATGCATTTTTAAATCATCGAATGAACCGAAAAAAGCTGTTTGTTTCGAACAATATAACTACTACTACTGTTGCGTTTACTGTCCGTTTTCCCATTGTGGCGGGGTTGGACAATCGGAAAGTGCGCAAGCAATGGTTCTGATGAGTGCATTCTGAGTAGCATTCAAGCTATTTAATGGAGGATAACACCTCTTGCCATGATATTTGATCAAGGCAGTCTGGGTTTGAGGCCTAAAGTATTCAGGTCTCTTTTAACACAATATGTCCAGCGTTTTTAGGCCCTCCTGTTGGTCTTTTCCCTGGGACTGAAACTTGTTCTGCTGATTTTAGCGCATGGTCATTTTCTCTTCAGTGAACCCATTTTGTCACATTTCCGTCCCTCGAAATTCGTGTTTCAAATCGTTCAGTTCACCGTCTCCAAAATTATATTTCCGAAATTTTTGTCGTTTTCCAAAGTTTCAATACCATTTTGTCGGAAAATATAACACGATTCCATTCAAAATTTAAATAACGATTTGCATAAGATATTCGTTTCTCTCTTTGCTCTGACGCCAAAACAGTTTGCGAGGCTTTCCGTTAACAAAATCCTGCCTTTTGAATAGGTCGTCGGATAGAAAAACTTGAAACCGGAAAATTATTGCTCAGGTTAAATAATGAAATAATGTTTTTCTGCGATTAATTTCCGAAGTTGAATAATTTGATCGTCTCCAGATGTGTTTGCGTTCTTGGGCGTCCGATCATTTTTTTTTGTGTAAAGCAACTCCTTGATCTGTAAAACATCATGAACGGTAAATTTCATTTTTTTTTTTCAACTTATTTTGATACTTCTTGTATAGTAAAATCGGGATTTTCATTACGCTTTACAAAAATTAAAATAGCTTAATCATTGGATAATCGACGACCTCGCATTTTGAATTTGATCTGACAAAAAGTTCAAGGTTAATCGGCTTCAGATTTTGCATGCAAAAAAAACGTCGAAAAGCACTGATTGCTCATTTTAATTAATTCTGTATGCCCGAAGTCTATGCTACTAATTATAAAAGCTATACAGGCAAAGTTAGTGAAAATGCCTTCAGTTTGTTATATTCCAAATTATTACTTGTAAAATTGTGTCTACTCGTATTTGGTGCTACTTTTACTGCATAGCATTGGCAATTTATTAGCATACTTAGCTGCTTTTTGCCGAGTCCTAAGCGTTCGTGGCCGGGAGGGCAGGGCTTGCTACTCCAAATCTGGAAGTCGTAGGATGGAATCCGAATGTAAACAAAGTTAAATTAAATAGAGGTTTTATCTTTTCTTATTTCATTTTACAAAGCTGCTTTTTTTCCATGTTATCGCTAGTGTTTGCGAAGGGCACCTTCGCCTCTATGTTATAAATTAGGTTTCCTTTTTCTTCTGTCTGTCTCTGATAGTAGTAACGACAATAAATGTTCATTTGATTTTTGACTTTCACAGAAAGCGGTGAAAAAAATGATGCTGGATTACTATAACGACAGAGCTATAAAAGTAAGTGTGATGTTAATTGTTTTCTGTGCTCATAGAAACAACTTCCGCGCTTTTACTAATCATGCCTTGTTACAGATACAGAAAAGATGGCGTGGGTTCTACGTTCGAAAATACAAACATAACTTCTATGCTAGAAAGAGATACCTGGAGTTGGTTGAAAAGAAGAATGCGATTGTAAGAGAACAGCTCCAGGACTACCAACATCAGGCGAAGCAAGAATTGGTTCGTCATTTGAACGATATGCGGGCTAAAAAGGTGGAAGAAGAAGCAAAGAAGACACATTTTCTGATGAGCACAAGAACTGTTAGTATCTGTTGTTCTTGAATTGCTTTTTTCTTCCTGGATTCGTAACATGGAAAGTTGGATACCTGTTTTTTTTTCTGACAGGTATCGCGTTTTAGTGTCCTTTTGTTTTTATGATATTTAATTGTACATTTTATAAATTTGTGAGTTATATCTAAGAGAGACAACGTTCAACCTTGCGATCAGCAAAGGGTATTGCAATTGAGGACTATTTTTCACCGTAAATACTTTTCTTCATAGAATGGTCTAAATTAGAAAGTAAGTTTAGGTTCAGCTGATAATTAATTCAAATTTCTGTGCGTCTCCGGCTCACCTGGTCTGAAGGTAACGAATACGCCTGAGACGGCAAAGGCCCGGGGTTGGAATCTGACAGGAAATTTTCGGCTTATTATTTTTCTGCTTATGTTAGCCGGCTTAGTTGCCACATCGTAGAATTGTTCCGTATGTTTTTTTTGGTTCTTTTTCGCTTAAAAACTTTATTTTGCCAAATCGATTACGGATTCTATTTGATTTCCATGGTGACTTAATTATGAGTTGTTTCAGGGGAGAAAAAAAATTATGCTCCCCTCTGGATTGCACAAGTTGCTAAAAATCTTAGAGTAGAAATCTATATCTATCTATACTATATTTAAATGCTAGTGACAGCTATCTCCCATGTTCAAGCATAATAATTTTGCATGTTTAACGAAAGAATTTTTTCATGTTTAAGCTATATCATGTATTGCAATGCTTAAGAAAATTTTTCATTATTTTGCCCGCAAGGTCATAAATTTTTCACTAATTTTTTTCGAGGCCAAATTAAGTCTGTCTGTCTGTATACCTGCTTTTTTAATTAATTTGATTATGTCTGTCTACCCGTCTCCTATTTTTTTAAAAAATTTCTTCTATCAAATCTATTATCTATTATTATGTATTTTAATGCGGGCTTCACTATCTCGCCATGTTTAAGCTTTTTCAACGTGTTTTTTTTTGCATCTGATTTTACCGTTTAAATTCAGTTTTTATTTCATCAAGTTTGTAATTAGCAACCCAATAGGAACAACCAAATCCTTGTAGTTTTCGAGATATGACGTTTTTTATGATTTTTCAAAAACTTATAGTTTAAAAAATTCCAATGTGTTGAAGATCTCAGTCCTGTTGTTGGATTTTGTGAGGGTACTCTCAGGGGTTTCAAATCTTGCCTCTAATTATGGCTGCTCAAATCCTTGTAGTTTTCGAGATATGACGTTTTTTTTTGGATTAAAAAAAAAATTCTGAAATTTTAGATATAAAAAAATCACAAAAATTGACATTCCCATCTCGGTGCTGAAGTTTTGTCAGGGTACTCTCAGGAGTTGCTATTTTTGCCTCCAAATAAGACTGCTCAAATCCTTGTAATTTTTGAGATATGACGTTTTTTATGATTTTCTCCGAAATTTTCAAAAAAAAAAATTAGATATTAAAAAATTCCAAAATTTGAAGATCTCAATCCTGTTATTGGAATCTGTGATGGTACTCTCATGGGGTTGCAAATCTTGCCTCTGAATATGTCTGCTCAAAATCTTGTAGTTTTCGAGATATGACGTTTTTTTAGGATTTTCTCACAATTTTTTTCAGAGAACTTGTGTATGAATATTTTTCATAAAACTTGAAATTACGTTCTCAGTAGTGAGGCTCTTTCAGGGTACTCTCAAGAGTTGTACATTTTGTCTCCAAATTTGACTTCTGAAAACCTTGCAGTTTTCCAGATATGACGTTTTTTGTGATTTTTTTTAAAAAAATTTTGTGAAATTTAAATTAATTTTTTTTTCAAAGTTTGAAATTCCTAACCTGTAGTTGGGGGCTGTCAGAGTAATCTCAGGAGTTGCAAATTCGGCCTCCAATTAAGAATGCTTAAATCTTTCTAGTTTAAGAGATACGACGATTTTTGTGAAATTTTTTCTGGTTTTCAAAAAAAAACCTCTTTTTAGAAAACTTAAGGTGAAGTTTTCCAAAATGTGAATTTCCCAGCGTTGTAGTTGGGTATTTTAAGAGTACTCTCAGGATTTGTAAATCTTGCGCCCAAATGCGACTGCTCTATTGCTTTTAGCTTCCCAGATGTGACGTTTCCAGATGTGACGTTTAATTATGAGTTGTTTCAGGGGAGAAAAAAAATTATGCTCCCCTCTGGATTGCACAAGTTGCTAAAAATCTTAGAGTAGAAATCTATATCTATCTATACTATATTTAAATGCTAGTGACAGCTATCTCCCATATTCAAGCATAATAATTTTGCATGTTTAACGAAAGAATTTTTTCATGTTTAAGCTATATCATGTATTGCAATGCTTAAGAAAATTTTTCATTATTTTGCCCGCAAGGTCATCAAATTTTTCACTAATTTTTTTCGAGGCCAAATTAAGTCTGTCTGTCTGTATACCTGCTTTTTTAATTAATTTGATTATGTCTGTCTACCCGTCTCCTATTTTTTAAAAAATTTCTTCTATCAAATCTATTATCTATTATTATGTATTTTAATGCGGGCTTCACTATCTCGCCATGTTTAAGCTTTTTCAACGTGTTTTTTTTGCATCTTTAACAAAATTTTTTTTTCACGTTTAAGCGATATCGTATATTGCAATGGTTAAGGGATTTGTTTTTCGATTTTCCCGTTTAAATTCAGTTTTTATTTCATCAAGTTTGTAATTAGCAACCCAATAGGAACAACCAAATCCTTGTAGTTTTCGAGATATGACGTTTTTTATGATTTTTCAAAAACTTATATTTTAAAAAATTCCAATGTGTTGAAGATCTCAGTCCTGTTGTTGGATTTTGTGAGGGTACTCTCAGGGGTTTCAAATCTTGCCTCTAATTATGGCTGCTCAAATCCTTGTAGTTTTCGAGATATGACGTTTTTTTTTGGATTTAAAAAAAAATTCTGAAATTTTAGATATAAAAAAATCACAAAAATTGACATTCCCATCTCGGTGCTGAAGTTTTGTCAGGGTACTCTCAGGAGTTGCTATTTTTGCCTCCAAATAAGACTGCTCAAATCCTTGTAATTTTTGAGATATGACGTTTTTTATGATTTTCTCCGAAATTTTCAAAAAAAAAAATTAGATATTAAAAAATTCCAAAATTTGAAGATCTCAATCCTGTTATTGGAATCTGTGATGGTACTCTCATGGGGTTGCAAATCTTGCCTCTGAATATGTCTGCTCAAAATCTTGTAGTTTTCGAGATATGACGTTTTTTTAGGATTTTCTCACAATTTTTTTCAGAGAACTTGTGTATGAATATTTTTCATAAAACTTGAAATTACGTTCTCAGTAGTGAGGCTCTTTCAGGGTACTCTCAAGAGTTGTACATTTTGTCTCCAAATTTGACTTCTGAAAACCTTGCAGTTTTCCAGATATGACGTTTTTTGTGATTTTTTTTAAAAAAATTTTGTGAAATTTAAATTAATTTTTTTTTCAAAGTTTGAAATTCCTAACCTGTAGTTGGGGGCTGTCAGAGTAATCTCAGGAGTTGCAAATTCGGCCTCCAATTAAGAATGCTTAAATCTTTCTAGTTTAAGAGATACGACGATTTTTGTGAAATTTTTTCTGGTTTTCAAAAAAAAACCTCTTTTTAGAAAACTTAAGGTGAAGTTTCTCAAAATGTGAATTTCCCAGCGTTGTAGTTGGGTATTTTAAGAGTACTCTCAGGAGTTGTAAATCTTGCGCCCAAATGCGACTGCTCTATTGCTTTTAGCTTCCCAGATGTGACGTTTCCAGATGTGACGTTTAATTATGAGTTGTTTCAGGGGAGAAAAAAAATTATGCTCCCCTCTGGATTGCACAAGTTGCTAAAAATCTTAGAGTAGAAATCTATATCTATCTATACTATATTTAAATGCTAGTGACAGCTATCTCCCATGTTCAAGCATAATAATTTTGCATGTTTAACGAAAGAATTTTTTCATGTTTAAGCTATATCATGTATTGCAATGCTTAAGAAAATTTTTCATTATTTTGCCCGCAAGGTCATCAAATTTTTCACTAATTTTTTTCGAGGCCAAATTAAGTCTGTCTGTCTGTATACCTGCTTTTTTAATTAATTTGATTATGTCTGTCTACCCGTCTCCTATTTTTTAAAAAATTTCTTCTATCAAATCTATTATCTATTATTATGTATTTTAATGCGGGCTTCACTATCTCGCCATGTTTAAGCTTTTTCAACGTGTTTTTTTTGCATCTTTAACAAAAGAATTTTTTCACGTTTAAGCGATATCGTATATTGCAATGGTTAAGGGATTTGTTTTTCGATTTTCCCGTTTAAATTCAGTTTTTATTTCATCAAGTTTGTAATTAGCAACCCAATAGGAACAACCAAATCCTTGTAGTTTTCGAGATATGACGTTTTTTATGATTTTTCAAAAACTTATATTTTAAAAAATTCCAATGTGTTGAAGATCTCAGTCCTGTTGTTGGATTTTGTGAGGGTACTCTCAGGGGTTTCAAATCTTGCCTCTAATTATGGCTGCTCAAATCCTTGTAGTTTTCGAGATATGACGTTTTTTTTTGGATTTAAAAAAAAATTCTGAAATTTTAGATATAAAAAAATCACAAAAATTGACATTCCCATCTCGGTGCTGAAGTTTTGTCATGGTACTCTCAGGAGTTGCTATTTTTGCCTCAAAATAAGACTGCTCAAATCCTTGTAATTTTTGAGATATGACGTTTTTTATGATTTTCTCCGAAATTTTCAAAAAAAAAAATTAGATATTAAAAAATTCCAAAATTTGAAGATCTCAATCCTGTTATTGGAATCTGTGATGGTACTCTCATGGGGTTGCAAATCTTGCCTCTGAATATGTCTGCTCAAAATCTTGTAATTTTCGAGATATGACGTTTTTTTAGGATTTTCTCACAATTTTTTTCAGAGAACTTGTGTATGAATATTTTTCATAAAACTTGAAATTACGTTCTCAGTAGTGAGGCTCTTTCAGGGTACTCTCAAGAGTTGTACATTTTGTCTCCAAATTTGACTTCTGAAAACCTTGCAGTTTTCCAGATATGACGTTTTTTGTGATTTTTTTTTAAAAAAATTTTGTGAAATTTAAATTAATTTTTTTTTCAAAGTTTGAAATTCCTAACCTGTAGTTGGGGGCTGTCAGAGTAATCTCAGGAGATGCAAATTCGGCCTCCAATTAAGAATGCTTAAATTTTTCTAGTTTAAGAGATACGACGATTTTTGTGAAATTTTTTCTGGTTTTCAAAAAAAAACCTCTTTTTAGAAAACTTAAGGTGAAGTTTCTCAAAATGTGAATTTCCCAGCGTTGTAGTTGGGTATTTTAAGAGTACTCTCAGGAGTTGTAAATCTTGCGCCCAAATGCGACTGCTCTATTGCTTTTAGCTTCCCAGATGTGACGTTTCCAGATGTGACGTTTAATTATGAGTTGTTTCAGGGGAGAAAAAAAATTATGCTCCCCTCTGGATTGCACAAGTTGCTAAAAATCTTAGAGTAGAAATCTATATCTATCTATACTATATTTAAATGCTAGTGACAGCTATCTCCCATGTTCAAGCATAATAATTTTGCATGTTTAACGAAAGAATTTTTTCATGTTTAAGCTATATCATGTATTGCAATGCTTAAGAAAATTTTTCATTATTTTGCCCGCAAGGTCATAAATTTTTCACTATTTTTTTTCGAGGCCAAATTAAGTCTGTCTGTCTGTATACCTGATTTTTTAATTAATTTGATTATGTCTGTCTACCCGTCTCCTATTTTTTTAAAAAATTTCTTCTATCAAATCTATTATCTATTATTATGTATTTTAATGCGGGCTTCACTATCTCGCCATGTTTAAGCTTTTTCAACGTGTTTTTTTTGCATCTTTAACAAAAGAATTTTTTCACGTTTAAGCGATATCGTATATTGCAATGGTTAAGGGATTTGTTTTTCGATTTTCCCGTTTAAATTCAGTTTTTATTTCATCAAGTTTGTAATTAGCAACCCAATAGGAACAACCAAATCCTTGTAGTTTTCGAGATATGACGTTTTTTATGATTTTTCAAAAACTTATATTTTAAAAAATTCCAATGTGTTGAAGATCTCAGTCCTGTTGTTGGATTTTGTGAGGGTACTCTCAGGGGTTTCAAATCTTGCCTCTAATTATGGCTGCTCAAATCCTTGTAGTTTTCGAGATATGACGTTTTTTTTTGGATTTAAAAAAAAATTCTGAAATTTTAGATATAAAAAAATCACAAAAATTGACATTCCCATCTCGGTGCTGAAGTTTTGTCAGGGTACTCTCAGGAGTTGCTATTTTTGCCTCCAAATAAGACTGCTCAAATCCTTGTAATTTTTGAGATATGACGTTTTTTATGATTTTCTCCGAAATTTTCAAAAAAAAAAATTAGATATTAAAAAATTCCAAAATTTGAAGATCTCAATCCTGTTATTGGAATCTGTGATGGTACTCTCATGGGGTTGCAAATCTTGCCTCTGAATATGTCTGCTCAAAATCTTGTAGTTTTCGAGATATGACGTTTTTTTAGGATTTTCTCACAATTTTTTTCAGAGAACTTGTGTATGAATATTTTTCATAAAACTTGAAATTACGTTCTCAGTAGTGAGGCTCTTTCAGGGTACTCTCAAGAGTTGTACATTTTGTCTCCATATTTGACTTCTGAAAACCTTGCAGTTTTCCAGATATGACGTTTTTTGTGATTTTTTTTAAAAAAATTTTGTGAAATTTAAATTAATTTTTTTTTCAAAGTTTGAAATTCCTAACCTGTAGTTTGGGGCTGTCAGAGTAATCTCAGGAGTTGCAAATTCGGCCTCCAATTAAGAATGCTTAAATCTTTCTAGTTTAAGAGATACGACGATTTTTGTGAAATTTTTTCTGGTTTTCAAAAAAAAAAACCTCTTTTTAGAAAACTTAAGGTGAAGTTTCTCAAAATGTGAATTTCCCAGCGTTGTAGTTGGGTATTTTAAGAGTACTCTCAGGAGTTGTAAATCTTGCGCCCAAATGCGACTGCTCTATTGCTTTTAGCTTCCCAGATGTGACGTTTCATAGTCCATTTTAAATTTTTCGAAGGTCTTCACAAAATTTATGGTTCTTCAAAATTTGTATAAAAAACTTGAATAAAATCTTTGCAAAATTTGTAATCACGACTCCTGTAATTGGGTGCTGTCAAAGCACACTCAAAGAATGAAATCTTATTTCCAATATATGCGGTTTATCATGAGTACCGGAGGTGCGTTTTACGCTAGTTATACTTAAAAGTTTTTCATGACAACAATTTTGTTTTCGGTTTTGCTTGATTTTACCCAAGTTTTGATGGCTCAGTTGCCGTTCTATAAGTTTTTTTTGGATTTTCAACAAACGCCGTCGATTGTGTTTCTGGAAGAGTTTTTCACAAAAAGAATATTCCAGACAATCTTGAAATTTTAAATGTAGTTTTTTTTTTCATTTTTATTGGATTTAGTGGATATCCTTTTCCTTCCTGTCTGCTAGCCTACAATGCTATTTTTATGTGTTATCGAAAGTGGTGTTAAACTCCACTACGTAGAAATCTATCAAAACAACCTGAATTGTTTCAAGGTTCCAACGCATGAAAAAGTTATTTCGGAAACCAATATTGCACACTGTTTCGTGATATCATTCAGGCAAGTGCATATTTTTATACGTTTCATCTAAGAGCTGGAACTTGTTGTGCATCAATTTAGGCGTTCAAATTTAATTGAAAAATTTCAATAATTCTTTGCTTGAATAGCTTGCTTCGAATTTTGCACACGAATTCAAGCTTTCAGAATAATTTGAAAAGATCCAAGCCTGCATCATTCAAATGTAAATTTGGAACGTTAGCTTTGCTTATCGCAGAATAGAAAAAAAATAATTCTTGAAAACCAATTGCAGCCATCAAAACATGTCGAACCAATTAAAGCCATCAAAAAAGTCATTGACTCAGGGCATGATAGGTTGCTCCAACATGCTTTTTTTCGCAAACCATTGCAAGCTACGCTTTGTTCAAGTTTCTATTGCTTGATGAGTTTGCTTCAAAAACTCAAACCCTGAACCAATTCGACATCAAAGTAACATTAAATATGTAGCATTATATTAAATAAGTTTCAATGCTTCGTAGCTTGCTAATGAAAATGGCTTATATTTTTTTTGTGCGAACGAGTTCATCAATTAAAACATTTTGAAATGTTCGAGGTTCAAAGCTGGATAGCCGGCTTTAAAACCATTTAATTTTTAACTTGCCAATTTAGGCGTTGGAAAAGTTCCATTGTCCATTGGAGATTTTCAAAGTTTTATTGCTCGAAAAGCCTTGAGGTGATTTATTTTTTTTCGAAAGTTGAAAAATAATCAAAAAAATTATCAATCGTTTTTTTTTTCGGTTTCTTAGTTATTACTTTTTTCCAACTGTTTGTTGGCGATATTTTTCCAAATGGTTTTTGCCGACCGTTTGTTTTCCATCTCATTTTCTATTCGCTAGCTCTCAATGTTACGGTGACGTTTTATCGCAAATGGCGCGGAGCTCAACTTTTAGGTCCCGATCATTTTTTGTTTTTTTTTGTCAGAAAAATTCTTAAAATTTGTTCAATATTTTCGATCTTTTTTTAAATTCGAAAGTTGTGATTTTTTCAAAAAGCAAGTCGGTATTTTTTTTTCTGTTCAATTGCTCTCATTGATTCTTTTCCAACTGCCTGTTGTTAATGTTAACCGCTTTGTAAGTGTTTATTTTTAGTGTTATAAGTGTGACACTAATGCTGGCAATTGTCTTTTTCGATATACTTTCCCCAAAGTGAATTTACGTGAAATGAACGTGTTGATAGATCTAATTATTTTTCTCTTTTTTTTTCGATCTTTCGAGCAGCCTGCCATGCGATATGTTGATATATTGCATCTGGCGCGCGGCTCCACTTTAGCCTCTGTGGTAAAATGCTAATATTCGACCGAAAAAGAAATGTAACTGAGTAGTTTACCAATTGTGTGTCGATGTGAAAGTTATGCCAATCGTGTGCTTGTTTTGTGGGTTTCTGGTTGATCAATTCTACATTGTTCTGAAAAATGTCCGATGTGCAATAATCACTCAATTTGAGTTTGGATTACATCAAAAATAAATATAATAACTGCCGCGTGATCACAATTTATTATTTCAAGAACACGTTGCTATGCAAAACTATTTGACTGAATATTTTTTGCTGGACTTTCTTGCTAGATCGAAAAGCTAAAATGGGTAAAACAAAAGGACTAAAAGTTCAATGGGCTGCTTAAGGTAGAAGATATCCCAAATTGTATATGACTCCTCATGACTTCCCGTTGTTTGAATTTCACAGATCCCCGGAGTGTATAATTCTCCCTCGCGTATCTATCCTCACGAAATGGAGTTCTATATGCGAGGAGCACGCTTCAATGACTCAGGATCAGCTAAAGGTAAGAAGGCAGGAAGTGCTGGAGGAGGGAAGAAGAAGAAGACGGTGAACTCCAATGGCAACAGCCAGGATGGAACCACAAGTGGCAAGCAGGGATCGAATTCAGAGGATGTGTTGCCGCCAATCACCAAACTACAAGTAAGTTGAAGCACAGTCGCAAATATATTTTTATCAACAGTTAGTCAACATATAATGCTGCGTATGTTTTAAAAGACAAATTTATGTTGTCGGATTTTGGTAGTACAGTATCAGAAATCATTTCTAAATCATTTTAAACGTTCGTTATTGCCCCTTTCATTACATTGTGTTTGTTGAAATGCAATTTGGTCATCTCCAACCTGGTACATAAATAGAATTTTGTTTCTTGAAACCTTGATATTACACGGTTGTAGAGAAAAAACAGATGTTTTGGGATTTGGGTATTTACCATGAATGGAAATTTCAAACAATCGGGCAAATTCAACTGAGGTTATTTGAAAAAAATGCCAGGTGGGTCAAACGGTAAAAAGGCCTTCAATTGTGGTTTCCAGGGACCCTTCCGCAACCCTCATGAGGTGCATGCTCAGAGGAAGAAGCCCCTGCAGCCCACTCTGAGGGTGGAGACTGACTTCACTAGTCTGGAAGAAGCACAGAAGCAACTGCAGCTGGAGGAGTGGAGGGCCAGGGTGGTGGATGACACGTGAGTGATAGACTTCTGATCACATTTACTTTTATCCAATCCAAACTCGTCTCGCTTGTCTCGATCCTCTTACTTTGTCCAAGGGAGGCGGGGCGGTCGGTCTGGGAGAAGATAGAGAAAAATGCCAAAAAAACTCGATGCAAACCTTTAACATTGAATTTAGCGCACCATATGATAAAGCGATGTGTCTATTTACATTGGGTTAAGAAATACTAGAGATGGCTTGTAGAAAGCAACAGTAAAAACTCAGGGAGCTGTTAAAAGTCTGCTTTTACTTACAGCCGTTAGTTAGTAGAAAAAAGCGTATTACAGCGCTGTAATGACAGCGTTCAATATATACTTTGAAGGAGTTAAATTTCTAGTCCTGATCTGATACCACTGTACACGGCCCAATATAATGCAAAGTATCAGTCGATGTTTGTCGACTTGGATTAGACTTTGGGGCCTTCCCATTCATTGCTTTATCATTTTCGTACAATTTTTGTTTTTTATTTAGGGTTTGCTGACTTGAGGAGAATAATGCATTGATTGTTTTCTTTTGCGTTTTTCTTACAGCAATGGGTTTTCTTACAGAAATGGCTGACAAGAAATTGATTAATTGTCTTTTCTGAGAGCAATAACCACAATTCATCAACGTTTTCCATATTTGATGAATTGTGCTTGAGTTTGAAGTGTGATTTTTTAGTTGGCAGCCTTTCACTCAGTTCAGATATCCGTACAAAAAACTGATGCACAGCTCTTCGGAGTACGGACACCTGAAGGACGACTACCTGAGAGAAGATGAACCCACTAAACGGGTGACAGAGGGCGACTTCAAACGACTCACTTCACCAGTCCCCCTGTTCGACAAGTTCGGAAGCACTTACTCCAAAGGAGCAGGCGCAATCTGTTGAACTGCCCCTGATTAATGAAATAACATCTAGTCATGAATGATAAAAGCGTCTATTGTAAATTGTATATAGAATTGTCTCTGTAAAAACTGTATATGAATCAACTAATTCACTAGATTTAATGCTAAATGTTGTGAGAAGTTTCGAAGTAACCAGATTGCAAGCTTGCTTAATCTAGGAAATTTTCCCTATACACTAGGCTCAGACTGTAATAAGGATAGCCGGTTGCTGTACTTGTAGTGCAAATTGTTATCAGTTCCGTTTAAATTCAGGGCGACTGAATTAGATGGATAACTGTAAGAATGAGAGGTAACATGGGTAAAATTACATTAACATATTAGTTTAAATTCAGTTTTTATTTCATCAAGTTTGTAATTAGCAACCCAATAGGAACAACCAAATCCTTGTAGTTTTCGAGATATGACGTTTTTTATGATTTTTCAAAAACTTATATTTTAAAAAATTCCAATGTGTTGAAGATCTCAGTCCTGTTGTTGGATTTTGTGAGGGTACTCTCAGGGGTTTCAAATCTTGCCTCTAATTATGGCTGCTCAAATCCTTGTAGTTTTCGAGATATGACGTTTTTTTTTGGATTTAAAAAAAAATTCTGAAATTTTAGATATAAAAAAATCACAAAAATTGACATTCCCATCTCGGTGCTGAAGTTTTGTCAGGGTACTCTCAGGAGTTGCTATTTTTGCCTCCAAATAAGACTGCTCAAATCCTTGTAATTTTTGAGATATGACGTTTTTTATGATTTTCTCCGAAATTTTCAAAAAAAAAAATTAGATATTAAAAAATTCCAAAATTTGAAGATCTCAATCCTGTTATTGGAATCTGTGATGGTACTCTCATGGGGTTGCAAATCTTGCCTCTGAATATGTCTGCTCAAAATCTTGTAGTTTTCGAGATATGACGTTTTTTTAGGATTTTCTCACAATTTTTTTCAGAGAACTTGTGTATGAATATTTTTCATAAAACTTGAAATTACGTTCTCAGTAGTGAGGCTCTTTCAGGGTACTCTCAAGAGTTGTACGTTTTGTCTCCAAATTTGACTTCTGAAAACCTTGCAGTTTTCCAGATATGACGTTTTTTGTGATTTTTTTTAAAAAAATTTTGTGAAATTTAAATTAATTTTTTTTTCAAAGTTTGAAATTCCTAACCTGTAGTTGGGGGCTGTCAGAGTAATCTCAGGAGTTGCAAATTCGGCCTCCAATTAAGAATGCTTAAATCTTTCTAGTTTAAGAGATACGACGATTTTTGTGAAATTTTTTCTGGTTTTCAAAAAAAAAAACCTCTTTTTAGAAAACTTAAGGTGAAGTTTCTCAAAATGTGAATTTCCCAGCGTTGTAGTTGGGTATTTTAAGAGTACTCTCAGGAGTTGTAAATCTTGCGCCCAAATGCGACTGCTCTATTGCTTTTAGCTTCCCAGATGTGACGTTTCATAGTCCATTTTAAATTTTTCGAAGGTCTTCACAAAATTTATGGTTCTTCAAAATTTGTATAAAAAACTTGAATAAAATCTTTGCAAAATTTGTAATCACGACTCCTGTAATTGGGTGCTGTCAAAGCACACTCAAAGAATGAAATCTTATTTCCAATATATGCGGTTTATCATGAGTACCGGAGGTGCGTTTTACGCTAGTTATACTTAAAAGTTTTTCATGACAACAATTTTGTTTTCGGTTTTGCTTGATTTTACCCAAGTTTTGATGGCTCAGTTGCCGTTCTATAAGTTTTTTTTGGATTTTCAACAAACGCCGTCGATTGTGTTTCTGGAAGAGTTTTTCACAAAAAGAATATTCCAGACAATCTTGAAATTTTAAATGTAGTTTTTTTTTTCATTTTTATTGGATTTAGTGGATATCCTTTTCCTTCCTGTCTGCTAGCCTACAATGCTATTTTTATGTGTTATCGAAAGTGGTGTTAAACTCCACTACGTAGAAATCTATCAAAACAACCTGAATTGTTTCAAGGTTCCAACGCATGAAAAAGTTATTTCGGAAACCAATATTGCACACTGTTTCGTGATATCATTCAGGCAAGTGCATATTTTTATACGTTTCATCTAAGAGCTGGAACTTGTTGTGCATCAATTTAGGCGTTCAAATTTAATTGAAAAATTTCAATAATTCTTTGCTTGAATAGCTTGCTTCGAATTTTGCACACGAATTCAAGCTTTCAGAATAATTTGAAAAGATCCAAGCCTGCATCATTCAAATGTAAATTTGGAACGTTAGCTTTGCTTATCGCAGAATAGAAAAAAAATAATTCTTGAAAACCAATTGCAGCCATCAAAACATGTCGAACCAATTAAAGCCATCAAAAAAGTCATTGACTCAGGGCATGATAGGTTGCTCCAACATGCTTTTTTTCGCAAACCATTGCAAGCTACGCTTTGTTCAAGTTTCTATTGCTTGATGAGTTTGCTTCAAAAACTCAAACCCTGAACCAATTCGACATCAAAGTAACATTAAATATGTAGCATTATATTAAATAAGTTTCAATGCTTCGTAGCTTGCTAATGAAAATGGCTTATATTTTTTTTGTGCGAACGAGTTCATCAATTAAAACATTTTGAAATGTTCGAGGTTCAAAGCTGGATAGCCGGCTTTAAAACCATTTAATTTTTAACTTGCCAATTTAGGCGTTGGAAAAGTTCCATTGTCCATTGGAGATTTTCAAAGTTTTATTGCTCGAAAAGCCTTGAGGTGATTTATTTTTTTTCGAAAGTTGAAAAATAATCAAAAAAATTATCAATCGTTTTTTTTTTCGGTTTCTTAGTTATTACTTTTTTCCAACTGTTTGTTGGCGATATTTTTCCAAATGGTTTTTGCCGACCGTTTGTTTTCCATCTCATTTTCTATTCGCTAGCTCTCAATGTTACGGTGACGTTTTATCGCAAATGGCGCGGAGCTCAACTTTTAGGTCCCGATCATTTTTGTTTTTTTTTGTCAGAAAAATTCTTAAAATTTGTTCAATATTTTCGATCTTTTTTTAAATTCGAAAGTTGTGATTTTTTCAAAAAGCAAGTCGGTATTTTTTTTTCTGTTCAATTGCTCTCATTGATTCTTTTCCAACTGCCTGTTGTTAATGTTAACCGCTTTGTAAGTGTTTATTTTTAGTGTTATAAGTGTGACACTAATGCTGGCAATTGTCTTTTTCGATATACTTTCCCCAAAGTGAATTTACGTGAAATGAACGTGTTGATAGATCTAATTATTTTTCTCTTTTTTTTTCGATCTTTCGAGCAGCCTGCCATGCGATATGTTGATATATTGCATCTGGCGCGCGGCTCCACTTTAGCCTCTGTGGTAAAATGCTAATATTCGACCGAAAAAGAAATGTAACTGAGTAGTTTACCAATTGTGTGTCGATGTGAAAGTTATGCCAATCGTGTGCTTGTTTTGTGGGTTTCTGGTTGATCAATTCTACATTGTTCTGAAAAATGTCCGATGTGCAATAATCACTCAATTTGAGTTTGGATTACATCAAAAATAAATATAATAACTGCCGCGTGATCACAATTTATTATTTCAAGAACACGTTGCTATGCAAAACTATTTGACTGAATATTTTTTGCTGGACTTTCTTGCTAGATCGAAAAGCTAAAATGGGTAAAACAAAAGGACTAAAAGTTCAATGGGCTGCTTAAGGTAGAAGATATCCCAAATTGTATATGACTCCTCATGACTTCCCGTTGTTTGAATTTCACAGATCCCCGGAGTGTATAATTCTCCCTCGCGTATCTATCCTCACGAAATGGAGTTCTATATGCGAGGAGCACGCTTCAATGACTCAGGATCAGCTAAAGGTAAGAAGGCAGGAAGTGCTGGAGGAGGGAAGAAGAAGAAGACGGTGAACTCCAATGGCAACAGCCAGGATGGAACCACAAGTGGCAAGCAGGGATCGAATTCAGAGGATGTGTTGCCGCCAATCACCAAACTACAAGTAAGTTGAAGCACAGTCGCAAATATATTTTTATCAACAGTTAGTCAACATATAATGCTGCGTATGTTTTAAAAGACAAATTTATGTTGTCGGATTTTGGTAGTACAGTATCAGAAATCATTTCTAAATCATTTTAAACGTTCGTTATTGCCCCTTTCATTACATTGTGTTTGTTGAAATGCAATTTGGTCATCTCCAACCTGGTACATAAATAGAATTTTGTTTCTTGAAACCTTGATATTACACGGTTGTAGAGAAAAAACAGATGTTTTGGGATTTGGGTATTTACCATGAATGGAAATTTCAAACAATCGGGCAAATTCAACTGAGGTTATTTGAAAAAAATGCCAGGTGGGTCAAACGGTAAAAAGGCCTTCAATTGTGGTTTCCAGGGACCCTTCCGCAACCCTCATGAGGTGCATGCTCAGAGGAAGAAGCCCCTGCAGCCCACTCTGAGGGTGGAGACTGACTTCACTAGTCTGGAAGAAGCACAGAAGCAACTGCAGCTGGAGGAGTGGAGGGCCAGGGTGGTGGATGACACGTGAGTGATAGACTTCTGATCACATTTACTTTTATCCAATCCAAACTCGTCTCGCTTGTCTCGATCCTCTTACTTTGTCCAAGGGAGGCGGGGCGGTCGGTCTGGGAGAAGATAGAGAAAAATGCCAAAAAAACTCGATGCAAACCTTTAACATTGAATTTAGCGCACCATATGATAAAGCGATGTGTCTATTTACATTGGGTTAAGAAATACTAGAGATGGCTTGTAGAAAGCAACAGTAAAAACTCAGGGAGCTGTTAAAAGTCTGCTTTTACTTACAGCCGTTAGTTAGTAGAAAAAAGCGTATTACAGCGCTGTAATGACAGCGTTCAATATATACTTTGAAGAAGTTAAATTTCTAGTCCTGATCTGATACCACTGTACACGGCCCAATATAATGCAAAGTATCAGTCGATGTTTGTCGACTTGGATTAGACTTTGGGGCCTTCCCATTCATTGCTTTATCATTTTCGTACAATTTTTGTTTTTTATTTAGGGTTTGCTGACTTGAGGAGAATAATGCATTGATTGTTTTCTTTTGCGTTTTTCTTACAGCAATGGGTTTTCTTACAGAAATGGCTGACAAGAAATTGATTAATTGTCTTTTCTGAGAGCAATAACCACAATTCATCAACGTTTTCCATATTTGATGAATTGTGCTTGAGTTTGAAGTGTGATTTTTTAGTTGGCAGCCTTTCACTCAGTTCAGATATCCGTACAAAAAACTGATGCACAGCTCTTCGGAGTACGGACACCTGAAGGACGACTACCTGAGAGAAGATGAACCCACTAAACGGGTGACAGAGGGCGACTTCAAACGACTCACTTCACCAGTCCCCCTGTTCGACAAGTTCGGAAGCACTTACTCCAAAGGAGCAGGCGCAATCTGTTGAACTGCCCCTGATTAATGAAATAACATCTAGTCATGAATGATAAAAGCGTCTATTTTGTAAATTGTATATAGAATTGTCTCTGTAAAAGCTGTATATGAATCAACTAATTCACTAGATTTAATGCTAAATGTTGTGAGAAGTTTCGAAGTAACCAGATTGCAAGCTTGCTTAATCTAGGAAATTTTCCCTATACACTAGGCTCAGACTGTAATAAGGATAGCCGGTTGCTGTACTTGTAGTGCAAATTGTTATCAGTTCCGTTTAAATTCAGGGCGACTGAATTAGATGGATAACTGTAAGAATGAGAGGTAACATGGGTAAAATTACATTAACATATTAGTACTAAAATAAAAATAAAATGTTGTGGGAGGTCAGCCCCTCATCAAATTTCTTCATTTTTAGTTTCAAAACGCAAAAGTTTTTGAAGCAGTCAGAATTGGCTCGAAAAAACCGACCCGAATTCAAAATTCTTTTCCAATCTTCGAGAGTGGTCGGAACAATAATTAGGTGTCGGCTAGTCACAAAGGATCCATCTAAGGTTTTTGTCCTGTCTAAAGATAGTTAGTTGTATTATTTCAGTACCTCAGTAATAATTGTTTCGTTGACCGAAGATCATCGGTCCACAATTGAATGCGTAACAACGGTTGAATGCGAAATCATCAGTTCCACCGGTTGAATGCGACCGAAGATCATCGGTTCCACAATTGAATGCGTAGCGACGGTTGAATGCGAAATTTTTACGCAAAGATGGTTTTCAACTACTCAAAAGAAGTGTTTTCCTTCAAAAATGCCCAAAGTGATTTTAATTTTCAAAACGTTTTAGCGAAATTCATAAGATATATAAGTAAACACTAATTTATCGACACTTCCTCGCACGAGCAACAGTTTTATGGTGTAAGTAGTGGTTTAACTGGGTTAATTTGGAGAAAAATGTTTTTCATGACCCAATTAGTTGGAAGGTAATTATCATAACAATAAGACAATGTGCACAAACATTTATTTGAAAAAATTGGATTGTGGGAGGAGACAAATAGCGATGTGTTCGGAAGATTTTTTAAACTAACTTATTAAATAGGACAAAAAAAAAATTGATTTATTATTGAATCTAAACAACTTCGAGCACCCATCTCACTTTTTCTAGACGTATCGCGCACGTTTATGCACCCCATGCCCTGGAGTGCGAATCTTGGCTGGATCTTTTTTTTTCAGTATGTATGAAATTGAATTGTTTCTCAGGATTACTTGAAGTGTCAGACTTCGTTTGTCAGCTCAATTTTTGTCGGTTTAGTTTCCAATGAGCCTAGTTTTTTGAAATAAACTTTTTACTGCAATTGACAGTCGTTTTGTTGTTTGTTAAAGAACTCTATCTTGAAATTTTTTTATCAAATTGCTTACGCTTGCAATTAGCAAGCATTATCAAATCGGAATATAGACTTTTTCCGTGTAAGAAGCAGCTTTTTAAAAAAAAAATCATTTGGTATCTTGGTTCATTATGAATTCTAATTTCTTAGTGTTCGTGGTACACTTAGCCTGAACCCCAACGAATACACCCGGGACGGTAAAAGATCTGGGTTTGAATCTGACCAGGACTTGTCTTTTTTTTTCAAACGGAAATTCTCCGTTTTAAAAAAACTGTCAGCTTATGATTTTTCTGTTTCGTCTGCTTAGTTGCCAAATTTGATTTTTTTTGGGCTTTTAACACATCTCGCAATTTTCACTGTATTTGCTTTTAATGTTTTCATTTACTCCTGCAATTTACAATTCTACTCTTCTTGACTTTAAGATTTTTTTTCGACCTAATTAGTTTTGGCTTATTTTTAATCGGCCTGCTAACCTAATTTTGGGTTGTTCGAGGCTACCATTTTTTCTATGCCCTCCTCCGGATTGCACAAAACGTTAAAAACCTCAGTAGATTTTTTTTGCAATTAGAACAATTCCAGACAACATTTTGAAGTTTTTTTTAGCTGTGGTTGGTTCAAAAACTGTTCTGGTTTTTTTGGACTTTGTGACTCTTTCTTCCTTTCCTGTCTGCTAGCTTCCAATGCTAATTTTGCAATATCGCAAGTGATGCAAAGCTACGCTTCGCCTCTCTGTTCGAAAAGCGTTATTGGTTTTTCCGCTTATTGTGCTTATTCGAAGGGTAAAAGCTGATTTTCACTATGAGTGTTTCAGGGCTTGAAAACTTCAAGTTCTAAAACTTTATAGCTACAAAAAAACCTAATTGTTTTTTCATGGTTTGATTTGTTATTTTTTCTAAGACTTGAATTACTCTCCTTTAAATATTAAACAAATTTTACTTTTGGATGAAAAAATGTACAAGTAGCAATAAAGCGCAACTGAACTCTAGTTTCAAAAAAGATACTTGAATTTCTAAGACCGTTATGGTGATATTTTACTATCCGAAATGCGAAACTTTTTTAGTCTATGTTTTTGGTTTTCACCATCTTTTACTTTCTGCAAATCATTTGTTTTTTAGTTGGGAAAAATGATTTGAGTTTTTCAATTTAGTTTTTTTTTACTCTTTCACATTGCCTAAGTTTTTGTATTGAAAGTAGTGCGGTGTTCCGCTCCAGCTCTGTTTATAGGAACTTCATTTTTCAAGATTTTCAGGATTACCCAAATTGGGTCGACTGTACCAAGAGGAGTTACAGAAATAGAATTCTCCGGTTTTTAAGATATCTTCAACTCTATGAAATTTTCGTAATTTTTCTGAAACGCTAACCCTAGTTTGGAGACGCTTTAAGCTGTTTAATGGTTATAATTTTTTATTGAGTGAAACGATTATCTCTTAAGCTAATGAGCGGTTAGTTTTTTGTTTTAGCATTCCCGAATTGCGTTCTTTTCGGTCCGCGCTTCCCCGCAAAATGAGTAAACACTGGCGCCAAAGGCGCCCTTAAAGAAATTTATTGCTCAGTCAGCCAAAAATGGATATCTCAATATAGAACAAAGATGGACCCTTTGTGTCAGCAGGAGCAAAATTTGATGGCAATTTGCGTGGTTTTTGCGTAATTAGGGCGTAATTTTTTGTGAAAAAAATCCATTTTTAGATGGTTTATGTAACAGCTGGTTTTTCTTCGGTTTTTTTTTTACTACTACACTCACATGTGCACGTAATGAAATTATATGCCCATATCAAAATGTGCATATAATTTGATGTGCACATTGAATTTAATATGCACATTGAAATTAATATGCACAATAAATTTCAGTTTGTTTTTCAACTTAAAAGAGCATTTTGGTTCCCTTGTAGTAATTAGAACATAGCTAACAGATGCCCGAGTGAAAAAGAGCCCGGCCTGAGGGCACGAAGTGCCGAGTGCGGCTCTTTTGCCCGAGGCCATCTTCAACTATGTTCTAACCGTTGAAGAGTATGCTTTTGCTCTTTCTGAGAGAAAGATGCCAGAAAATCGTGAAAGACCCGGAAAATTGTGAAAGATCCCGAAAAATTGTGAAAGAGCCCGGAAAAGTGCGCGAAACTATGCAAATAATTTTTTTTTCATTCATGCGTTCTAATATTTCATTTTTCATTCATGCCTTTTCGTGAAAGAACATGTGTGAAAGAGCAATGACATGCTCTTCAGATTTTTGTATTTAACACATTATTTCTAATTTTGTTAAAATATCGTTAACAATAACCTTTTAATTTATCTGCATTATATTTATCTGCTTAAAATTATCTGCAAAGAAAAATAAAAAACAATTTGTTGCTGCCTCTGTTTCAGCATGACCATTGAAAAAAAATAGTGAAAAAGCTGAAGAGGGGCTGCTTTGGAGGGAAATCTATTTTATTTGGACGCAATCTTTTGTCTAATTAACTAAGGTCAAAAAGAATAATTTTTGTTTTTGAAAACTCGAATCAATTATTTTGAATTGAGAAGCTGATTTAAAAAAACTACAATTTTTTTTCAAGTGTTACCAAAACAAAGCACAAGATAACATCAAGAGATAACATCAATTCATCGTAATTTACTCAATGTTTTTACCTTAAAAGACAAATTTAATTGTGTATTTTGTGTGGTGCGAAGCCTCAGTTCGCTTTTTCGTTTTCATTGTTCATTTTGCCTTTCTACTGGCCTGTAATTGAACATGTGCGTATTATATAAGGCGACAGGTTGCTACGAAGATTTTTTGATTGTGGTTTAATTGGTTTGAAAACCATGTCAAATATGCAAAACACATTTTCTGCAGAAAAAAGATTTTTCAGGGTTGTTTGCTAATTTTAAAGTTTTGTTGTGCCAGTTTCTTTACGCGCTTTTTGCCTGGTTCTTCGCTTTTCTAAGGATAACAATGAACAATGGTTTTCATCCGCATTTACTATTTGATCTTCTGTTATTGTTCCGACCATTGAAAATGGAGAAAAACTTTGTATTTGGTTGCAGCTTAGTTTTTTTGTTTTCCACGCACAATCTGCTATCACAGATAATCATCGGAGTGATTTGAGTGATATAAGATTTAAAAAAGTTTTTTTTGGAGTAATTTTTGCCTCATTTTGTTATTAAAAATGTTGAAATCTTTAAATGCTTTTAAATTTCGTTAAATGCTTTTATTTGATTCTCTAGTTATTTTTTTGTTCAAAAATTTTTTGTCCATTTTGCTTTTTTTTCTATCGAGTATGCCTAAGTTTTAGTTTTTTTGTTCAGATTTTCTTATATCACCACCAAGAAAAAAATCGTCTTTGAAAAATATTTTTTGTTTTTTATAAGACTATGCTTGGCACATTCTGTACCATTTGCACAGTAACCGGCTCTCCATTTCCGCTGTCCAAAATATGTGGAAGCGATGCCTGATTGGCCACCAATCAGTCGAACTGTTCAGTTCGAGATCCTTCAAAGTCCGAGTTCCTTGTTTTAAATTGAGACAACATCAATAAAGCACAAAAAATTTCAAGAACCGCATGTAGCTCTTAATCAACGGCACGGCAGCCGTTGTCCGTGTTTTTGTGGTTTTTCTGAAGAGCCTGTTTGTATTTAATTCTTTTTGTATTTAAGTGAAGAGCCTGCTTGTATTTAAGTGATTTGAACTTGACGTGTTGGATTTTAGCGGGT